TCCTACTAACTACTCCTGCTACTACGACTACTACTACTACTACTACAACTACTACTACTACTACTACTACGACTACTACTACTACTACTACTACTACTACTACTACTGCTGCTGCTACTACCACTACTACTACGGCTATTCCTGCTATTACTGCTACTGCTACTGCTACTGCTACTACTGCTATTCCTGCTATTCCTGCTATTCCTGCTACCGCTACCGCTACTACCGCTACCACCGCTACTACTACTACTACTACTACTACTACTACTACTACTAGTACTACTACCGCTACTACTGCTACTGCTACTACTGCTATTCCTGCTATTACTGCGAGTACTGCTACCGCTACCGATGCGCAAGGCGCATGTGCAGGGCGCTTCAAAGTGCCGTAGTTGTCTCTGTCACAGCTTGTTGCCGCTAGAAGCTGCCGGAGAGCTCAGACGTTGCGATGTTTGAGGACATCTTCGCAGCTCGATGAGCAGTTTTTATGCGAGAGTCCTTCAAGGGTCACCATGGTAAGGTCTCCCTCTTCTGGTCCGCGCTGAGCGACAGGTCTTCCATTCGCGAGGCACATGGGTTCGAGCTGTTCACTCACGCATCCATATTTTTCTCTACATGCAGGACCCTACGAAGGTTCAGACGTTGCTTCACATCAGAACCCCGGCGGTCCTTTTTATAAAATTTAGTTTGCTTGAAGGATACGTAAACCCATCAGCCCATGGTCTTCGAGTTCGGATCTGCATCGTGCAGCCTGCATGCACAAGTAATCTGCAAGTTGTCAGTGCCGCTTCTCTCGGTGGGTCTCAAGCATGGTGGCAAAACATCTGGATGGTTCCTTGCCGCAGCCTTGCTCAACACTCCCCCAAAACATGTCAGCTTTCTGTCATCGACTTCAGGAATGTCTCCCAAAACGAAGGCGCTTCGAATGTGAGACCCGAAGTGAAACTGTCCTGGTTTCACTCTTCTCCCACTTCCCCCAGCAAACAAACAGATTAGCAAGTACCTGAATGTGTCCACGGGGTACCAAATAGATTGACGTGTCATTTTCGCAGATGGCTTAGCAAATGGGTTTTTGTGTTGCATTGTCTGGCTTGTCTCCTTCCAGTCCCTGCGCAGCCGCGAGGGCGTGCCTTTCATGTTTTTGACCGGTTGACAAGTCCTCGGTGCATGTCTTTATGGCATCGTGCTTCCCGCAGCACCTCAATGCAGGTGCTGCCCAGGGGTTGAGCTTCAAAAGCTGGGGCCCGATTTCGGCCGCTTTTCCGGCGTTTTTTCCGGCCTCTTGGGCTCCGCCCGCAAGGCTTGGCCTGGCCACCGATTGCCAAAAAACGCCTGTGAGGGACCCCATGGTTGCTCGGTTTCTGGAAGCGCAGCCAGTCGTGCAGAGTCCAGTCCAGTCACGATAAGCAAGAGACCGCGAGTTTTTTCTTTAGCTAGCACCGATGGCTTCGCCAAACATCCGGGGCCATGGGTCGCCCTTGGGTCATCTGTTTTATGCGCAGGATGGGCGTGCTCATGCCGGACGAAATCTGAGATACTCGGAAATCGTTGCTGATGATGTCGCCGCGAAAGCAGCAGGTGTGGTTGTGGTTTATTGGTGCGGGTGTCCTCCGCTCCGCTGGCAGCGACAGGTGCTTTCGAAAGCAGGGATGCAGTTACAAAGCCAAGTGCAACGACAATGCTTGCGTTGACAAGCTTACTTAACTTCATTAAGAAAGTTTCGGTCGCTTCTCGAGGCGGCCTCTGGCCCAGATGCACAACAACGTCCGACGGAAGCGCTGCATTGTCTGCGACACAATGCATCCTTTCGCAATGTAGCCCACGTGCGCCTAGTTTTACGGCTGTTGCGGGGAAGCTCCCGCTTCTCAGAAACTCACCATCCGTGGCTTTCACCAGCCCAGCCGTTAGTGCGGTGCTGCACATGGCACGACCCACCATGCACTTCAAAAATTGCATGCTGGCCTGTGCTGCTGCATTGCCGCACTTCCGACAGCCTTGCAATGCATGTCGACTTCGGGGCCATGCCGATCGCGGTTACAGATCGCCGAGATTGACGATCCACTCAAGCAGTGTTGGATCATGCTTGGTGGAATTCGTAACCCGGATTGTTGCCTGGTTGCACTGATGATACACTTTTCGCCATGGCCGGTTCTCCGTTGTCCTGTCGACGAACACAGGCCAGATCGTGTCTTACAGACCAGTGATATTGCTAATGCTACGGTCCACGGCTGCTGATGGTTGTTCTTCGATCGCCCGCTTCGCAGGCAACGGACATTCGGATTGGAACCAAGACAACTTGAAATGTCACATTGGCATGGGCGGCATATTTCAGTTTTGGGCTGTTGTTTCGGTCGCGCATGGTTCCATGTTGGTTCTTGTTTCAAGTTCTCCATTGATCGCCGAACCAAACTGCAACACCGACTGGCTTACGGGAGAAAGAGAGAGAGAGAGAGAGAGAGAGACGCAGACGATGCAGCCGGGGACACAGCTGTGCGGCACGAGAAGCGCCACCAGCGGCAACGGAGACGCCAGCGACGACAACGGCGGCCTCGGCAAGACCACACCGTCCCGAAGCACGCCAGCAAGCACAACTGAGCACTGACCGGGGAGCTCAGGAGCCGGGAACGCCGAGTAATAACTCGAACCCCTTCGGCACGACGCACAGGCGTCGACGCATGCACGCCCTATTTCATGACTGAGTGCCTCGAAGACTGTTGGGATAGGTCGCATGTAGGGGGGCACCCGTATGCTACTGCCTGAGTCATGACTTACAGCGTGCAGCAAAGTAGACAGTACAAAGATAGGGGACACAAACATCCACCACGAAGTCCGCCACAAGGCAGAAAGCAGGGGCCCCAGTTTGTGATGTTTTCCTTTCATGTATTGGTACCCGCCCCTTGCTGTTTCCAACCCCGGGACCCTGCCTCTGCACCACAGCATCACCACCACACAGTGCGGGACCCTAGTGTGTGATGTTCCCCTAACTTCTTGAGCCCTGCCCTCTGCTTCCAACCTCAGGGGACCGCACTGTCCACAGGCAAACATCCACAAACCGTATAGCTGCAGAGCATAGGTAGCCGAAACCGTTGTCCGGGGCAAAGCTTGTTAGTGTGTTGTCATGCGTCATGATGGTTAGGGGCCCACAATGTAAGGGACAACGGTGCAACAGTGCCCCGAAAACGGGGATCCCAAGAGTCCACCCCGACACTCACACAGAGCCCGACAAGGCCAACGAGGCAGGGTGGGAAGCAAGGCAAGTGTGAGTGTTGAGGTAGGCTGTGTTTCACTCAGCCGACCGGACGCGGACACTGGCGTTGCGCTTGCGCGCGGGGGTACGGGGGGCACCCCTCGACCCCAAACGTCCAGCAAGCAAGCAAGCAAGCAAGCAAGCAAGCAAGCAAGCAAGAGAGAGAGAGAGAGAGATATATATATATATACATACATACATATATACATATATAGAGACATGTTTTGTTTTTTGGGTTTTCTCTTTCGTGGTTGATTTTCATTGAGTTTTAGATGCACATTGTTTAGCAACATATGACATGACCGTATGTTCATGCGTATTCAACTGCCCGTATTTCGACTTGCCAACCATGTGCAAAACATGTAATTTCTCGATCACCCTCATGATCCTTGAGCGTGAAATCTTACACCGCAGGTTCTTTCGGCACACAGGTTCAGCTTGCTTCGCCACGCCCACAAACACACAGACATGGCGGAAGCCGAGGCCGTGTACCGCTATGAATCCGGACAAATCGCGCATGCTCCCAAGAAAGATTACGGTCCTTTGGACTTCACTGGAAAAATTGCGGGGGGCTTGCGACTCGACATCCGCAGGCGGGCGCCGCTGTATTGCAGTGATTGGACGGATGCCTTCACACCGGAGAACTTCCAAAAGTCGGTGTCGTCCATCTTGTATCTGTTCTTTAGCCGCGCAACATCCAGATTTTTAACCTTGTCTGAAAATGTATAAAAAATGAATCGGGTATTGGCCATTTGTTGCAGTAAGGTTCATCGCAGCCCTTGCCCCTGCGATTACGTTCGGCAGTCGGTTCCTTGACGGCACGAACGGCCAGTTCGGAGTGATGGAAATGATCATGAGTACATGTATAAGTGGTTTGATCTTCTCGACATTTTCCGGTCAGCCCCTTTCGATTTTGGGAGCTACCGGTCCGTTCTTGGCCTACACGCTTGTCGTCTATGACCTGGCAGTTGCCGTGGACGTGGAGTTCATGCCGTTTTATTTCTGGACATGCATGTGGTGCTCCCTCTTCACCGTCCTAGTGGCGGTATTCGACTTGTGTGCTCTCATGAAGCACGTCACTATGTTCAGTGAAGACATCTTCGCTGGATGCTGTTCAGCGATATTATATGTGTTTAGCACTAATTGTTTCTGGGTTCTGATTATAGCACAAATTGGGTTATCCAAAAGCTTAGGATTAATCTCGCTCATCTTCATCATCGATGGAGCCCGGCCGATCATTGAGAATTTCACGGAAAGCAGGCTGACGCTGACGAACTGCATGTTTGAAGCTCTTTTGTTCATTTGGACATTTGGTTTAGCGACATACTTGTCAAGCTTCCGCCGAAGCCCTTGGACGTTCCGTTTTGTTCGCAACTTTGCGGCCAATTTCGCGGTGACCATCGCCTTGGTTAGTGGCTCTGCGTTGGCCGCCATTTACTCCAACGACACAGGCCTGAGAATGTTGCAAGTGGACGCAGACTTCTCGCCAAACTTGAGCCTTTCCGATGGCAGCAAGCGGCCGTGGATCATTAATCCCGCCGGCATGGACCGCGCCTTCCCAGCTTGGGGCATTGCGTATGCAATCCTCCCGGCGACTTGATAAGTGGACATGGTTTTGGTCTCTTGTAGTTTGGGGCTGTAGGGTTGTAGGGGAACTTGTTCGTACCTAGCGTCGCCTCAAGCACAACCGAGGCGATTGGCTTCGCAGTCTTGGGTTACCTGGATCAGAATCTCACCTCTGTGATCGTGAACAGACCCTCCAACGGTCTGAAGAAGCCGGCTGCATATCACCTTGACTTGTTGCGCAGCTATTAGGTATCCTTTGACTTCCGTATTGGTGTTGAAGTTTCCTTGTAGTTTTAGCAGAGGGAGTCCATAAAACATATCCTTTGTTCCTTCCTTCTTGAGCAGTCTCAGGTTTGTTCGAGGAGCACTCACGCTGCCCATCTGTGCTGTGCTGGGCTTGCCCCTGTCCGTGGCCTCCACGGTGCCGAGCATCACCCACGTGATCTCGTTGACAACTTACGAAGTGAAGCAGCTTCCGGAAGGTGAGCGCAAGGTGCCTTCGAAGGTGGTGGAACAGCGTGCTACGAACTTCTTGAACCTTAGTAGCTGAATCAGTGCACTTGACACTTTTTGGGAGAATATTATCCCCTATAGAACTGAAATTCACTTTCGTCGGGGTTCTGAACTCAGCAACTA